TTCTTGCCATTTTTTTTAGTATTACTTATTAATTTAAATGCATAGTTTATGAATTGTTAATTTTAATTAATAATAATTGTGAATGATTATTTATGCGACATACATTAGAATGTGAATTGATCAACTTGATTTGAATTGTTAATTATAATTAGCATGATGTTTCATTATTTTGACAATATAAGTAGTATTCAATTGATAAATTTTATGATTGTTAATGATTATTAGGAATAGTTAAAAAGTTTAGGATGATTAATAATAATTATGAAAAATTTTATTTCCTTGATAGTTGGTAAAAATGAACGAAAGAAAGGGAAAGTAGAGGGTTGTCGCACGCAATGTTACTGGATCTGAGTGGAGAAAACGTCAGGAGGAGAACGATAGAGCTCTTGAGCTGGAGCGTCAAGAGAAGCTTGCTCGTCAAGCTGTAGTTGATCCTGTCCCCTCTAGCCATGATTCTCGACAGATTCGAGTCATCAACACATATGATGACTTGGTGGAGGATGCCACGAGCAATGATGATGAGTGTGATGAGGGTGATGAGGAGGGTGATTTGATGTCGTTTCCTGATGCTTTTTACCAGGGCCATCCTGTGGGTTCGAGCGATCACGTGTCTACTGGCTCGACCCATGTTAGTACTCGAGTTGGGCCGCTACGTGGTAAGGATGGGCGTTTTGCTTCATCATCTAGTGGGAGCGTCCCTTCACAGAAGAAGTTGTGGATCAGACATGGCTGCTTACAAGAGCAGGTCCCGGGGGTCCGAGTGACCGCAAATATATCCCTAGTTTCGGTGGTCACATAAACCATCGTTTGTGGACTTTGGGTTTGGATTTTCGAGTGATGTCTAAGCATCAGTTCTATACTCGGTAGGGTGGAGTGGATCGACTGAGGTTGTACAAGTTCTCGACCCCACGTGTAGAGAACTTGGTTAGGGCATCTAATTTGTATCACTTGAGTAGTTGCATAATGCATAGTGTGGATTACCCTCTCTTGGAAGCGTTTATTGAGAGGTGGCAGCCGGATACCAACACGTTTCACATGTCGTTCGGGGAGATGACGATCACTCTTCACGATGTTTCATTCCTGCTCCAGATTCCAGTGGATGGAGAGTTACTTGCTGCACCAGCTAAGGATGATCCGTCGTTCGTGAGTGGGATTGTTGATCTTCTTGGGATTCCAGATAAGAATGCAGTGGCAGCGCGTGGCATCCGTTGGTATGAAGGTGGTGGGATGTTGGTAGATGAGGGCATGACACGTCTACATGCTAGGGAGGATGGGGATGCTGAGGCACAATGCTATTTAATGTGTTTGATAGGGTCCACGCTTTTTGTGGATAAGAGTTCTGATCGTGTTCGTGGATGGTTGTACTCTTACTTCAGAGATTTGCAGATGGTTAGTAAGTATGCATGGGGTGCTGGTGCGCTTGCCTGGATGTATAGGCAGCTTGGGAGATCTAGTCGAGCAGGATCTAAAGGATTTTTTGGGTGCTTGACCTTGTTACAGGCTTGGATCTTTGAGTATTTTCCATCGATGCGCATTAACAGAGCTGCACCACAGACTGGCACCATCGGGAGGACTCTCATACACCAAAGATGACCAGAATCGATGCAAGTGGTAGGGATACAAATCTATGCCGACAACACTATATTCATCCATCTTACATTTACATGGTAAACCATGTGTCTCAGGTAGCCGACATCCACATCGCCGAACGATTTCCCTCCCTCGTTCTTCCATCATCAACTCAATCGCCCACAAGCTTACTTCCTTATTCAAGTTTCCATATGGCGGTCCATAGGCTAATGCAAATACCTTTCCGAATCACGAATTTCTAAGTCAAAATCAAATTGAGGATATAGGGAAGAACTAATTTAAATAAGCAAAATAATGAAAATACCTTGGAAAGTTATGCCTCTAAGTCCTTCTTCAATTCAATCACTCTTCCCTCGACGCATGTATGAAATCTGAGGAAGAGTGTATCGATCTTGTGGGTCGAAGTGGCAAGCCATTTCTTCAAAGAGGAATGCATTGACTCTACCCTATTTGTGCTTGTGTTACCAATATGGAAGACACGATTGGTGTAGCAATGAGCCCACCTTTCCGCGCATGGTATCCACTCACTTCTGAGGTAGTCCATCAACTTTTTGTTTGTACCCCAATGACCATTTTGCAAGTCTCGCCAACACCGTTGGAACCCTACCTCGGTATTGGCATTCAAGACTCTCCCCCATGGACCTTCTATAAACCACTCAGCAGAATCACGACTGATCCTAAAAGACAACATTTTAGCTTCAATGTTCCTCTTCATGTGCCACACACATAGTAAATGAGCTGAAGATGGAAATATCTGTCGCAATGAGACACCCAAACCTCCCTCCTTATCGGTAACAAACGCATCTGGTGTTCGATCACCAAGCATATGCTTCAATTGCATCAAAACCCAAGCATATGTCTCCTTCGTCTCATCCGACACCAATGCAAACCCAATATTGAAGTTCTTCTTTACCAGACTAACACCAATCAACTGAACTAGTGGCTGTTTATACTTGTTGGTCTTGTAAGTTGAGTCTATCAAAATGACGAAATACCATGCGCACAACATCCGAATAGACTCTGGATGGCAAAGGAAGAGTCTAGAAACACGACGCTCATCATCAAACTCGCACTCAACAAAGTAATCGAGACGTTGAGCTTCTATCAATGTCCACTGCATAGGTTTCATGCCACCCAATCTCTCACGCCTAATCTTTTCTGTCTCGTTATAAATCTGCTTCATATGGTGATGAGCATCGTACTTCCTATTCATAAAACTCCTAATATCTCTTGCCTGAGTATGTGTTGCCTCCAACTCCTTAATATCTATTCTTCTCTCTTTCGAAAGAGAATTCCTTTGCCTACTTCCTTCAGAATAAACCTCCAATATGTGATTGTGAAATCCTCTCGACTTACCCGGATTATCTTTGTCCTTAACACCAAAAATTCTCCACTCACACTTGCCATCTACCAATGAACAACGCACTACCACTCGGAAACGACAATCAGACTTACCTGTTTTAGATTTGCTCCGTGTTGTTTTTGCCAAATCAGGAGTATATGACTTGTTCCTATAGCCATGGTTGCAATCCATATAGTACAGCGGATATTTTTCTGATGAGTGATTTTGCTTGACTGATCCCACAAACAAGAAAAACCTATTTCTCATGGCAATCTCCCTTGCAGCCGCACAAGCATCATCATGGGTATCATAAACAACATCGTTTATGAAAAATGATGTGTAATCAACATTGTCACCCCTATCATTTCCAAAACCTCCCTACAAAAAATACACGGTATAAATATTTACGTTAGTCTTGAAACAATTATGTTGCAATAATTTAACTATTAAACAACAAAGAAATAAGGTATTTACCGAATCACTCATAATAAACTTGTTATTTGATGATGGTAGCGAAAGAGGCTTCTACACTTTGTCCTCCCTCCTACAAGCACAACAAAAAACAAATTTTAACGAACATATAATATATTTCAAGTGAATTTCATCAAAATTTGTCTAACAATTCACGAAAATCCATCTAAAAATCACAAAAACCGGCCCCAAGCATGTGCAAAACATGACTCGACCATCGACAAGGCAGAAAACAAAAAAGACCCGCCAATGGTTCAAACGTGCTGCGCAGGTGCCTCTACCAGTCAGCGGGCATGTTCTTTACGGGATTAAGTCGTATGCCATCGTCCATGGAAAGACATGTGGCCGAAAGGGTGAGACGGCGGGACGGGCAGGTCAATTACACGCCTCTCCATCAGCGCGGACATAAGATCTTCCCACCTGTCCACTGACGCAGGCATGTTATCTACCCGCCTGTCTGATGGATCAAGCATGTGAATTACATGCTCAGCGAGAGGAACAGACAAGCTGTCTACCTGTTTCCTTCATGGAGAGATGTGTTTTCAACCTGCCTCTCCGGCGGCGCGCACACAATTTCAACTAGTTGTTCTCGTAAAGCCAGAAAAAAGAAGAAGAATAATGCAACATACCTTTGTTCGAATACTTGACTGCCGAGTGTGCCTTTTGGCTTCGATGGTCTCGCCGAATTCAAATAAAACTCACCAATTAAGAAGAGAGTAGTTGAGAATTGTTGTTGTGTGGGATTTGATTAGTTTTTTGTTTGATGTTTCCACTCTTTGTCTCTCAAAGAGTGGAAAAGTGTATGGGACCATTATGTCCTACTACAATATATGGGTTTTAAACCCTAAAACCAACCCAGGGCAATTTGGTCATTTTATATATCTTAGGGCGATAAATTTAAATAATTAGAGCGACAAATAGGAAATCTCATTACAATTACCCTGGCCCAAATGGTTTCGTTTTACTTTTTTGCTGCCAAATGGGTCAATTTGGCCCAATTATCTCATTTTGAATCAATTTGGGCAAATTGATCCATCATCATGTTCCATCCAAACAGCCCCTTAACAAATTCAAGAAGGAGAGGCAAATCGGGGAATGGAAACCCTAGATAAAACCAAAAGTAGTCCGAAGACGAAGAGAGATGGAGGGAGACAGGAGTAGAAATCCCAACAATAAAACAGAGAGGCTTCTGGTCGCCCTGGTTTATCAGGAGATATTACAAATTAATCGTCAAGACTCAAACTAAAGTTTAAACATTGACATAAACTAAGATGATTATGATTTCCTCTAAATCTTGTCGATCTACTTTGACATTCATGAACGTCAGTTTGAGTCTTGACGATTAACTTGTAATATCTCATGACATTGTTTGAATCTGAATACATGTCATCGTCGCCTTGTGTTAATTGTTTTTGTAAGGAAGTGGTTAAGTATCATACACGTGCTTGTATAAGATCCATCATAACTTTCTCTCAACAACTCGAGTTATTGAGACCAGCTAGTTTATGACTTGGTATGCGTGTAAGAAAGTTGTTAAGCATCATATATGAGATCTGTATAATATACAATTCGAGTTATTGGGACCACTGGTTTATGACAGTTTTTTCCTTTCGTCAAAAACGAGACAGCCACCAACAGTCGTCATCTTTGCTACCATGTATTAATTACATAACATCCTTATCTCATTGAATTTATGATAGCCTTTGTCGATCAGCATTGCCGACTTGGAGTTATGGCAATCTTTGTTGCTTTTTGATCCATGCATGTTTATCCACCAGCACTTAGTCTAGCTTGAATTCGAGAATTGCAGAGTACCTTCTTCACAAAACAGAGAACTAGTAACTAATCACTAAAATGGCGTCCTCGGCCGCCTACGATCGCCTAGCCGAGCTAAAGTCCTTCGACGAGACTAAAGCCGGCGTCAAAGGTCTCCTGCATTCCGGGATCACCGACCTCCCCCGCATCTTCCACTTCCCGCCCCACCTTCTCGATCACAGACCATCGGTTTCCGCCGGCGACCCCAACTTCACTTTCCCGGTCATCGACCTGGAAAGTGAAGGCGTGAGATCAGACCCCGACAAGCGGAACAGAATCGTCGAAAGAATCCGCGACGCGTCATCAAATTGGGGATTCTTCCAGGTGGTCAACCACGGTATCCCCGAAACCCTCCTCGACGAGATGAAAGCCGGCGTCCACAAATTTCACGACCAGACCGTCGAGCTGAAGAAGCAATTCTACGGCCGCGACCCGACCAAGAAAGTCTACTACAACAGCAACTTCGACCTGTTCGACGCCCCCGCCGCCAGCTGGAGGGACTCGGCGCTGTTCCACATGGCGCCCGATCCGCCGAGCGCCGACGAGATTCCCGCTTGCTTCGGTGGCGTCCTGACGCGCTACTCCGAGGAAATGCTGAGATTCGGGGATCTGCTGTTTCGGCTGCTGTCCGAGGCTCTGGGCTTGAGGCCCAATCATCTCAAGGAGATGGGCTGCGCCGACGGGTTGCTGATCGGGTGCCATTACTATCCGCCGTGTCCCCAGCCGGAGCTCACTCTGGGAACGGATAAGCATTCAGATGTCGACTTTGCCACCGTGCTTTTGCAAGATCGCATTGGAGGGTTTCAGGTTCTTCACAAGGATTGTTGGGTCGATGTGCCGCCTCTGGCGGGAGGTCTGGTTGTTAACATCGGTGATATGCTTCAGGCAAGTCTTGTTGAGTTGTTGTTGTTGTTTTTTAATGTATATATATATCTTTAGAGGAGTCTTTGCAGCTGATATGTTGTTCTTGAATTTTTTTTTCAGCTGATATCGAATGACAAGTTTATAAGCGCTCAACACAGAGTTCTGTCGAAAACGATCGGACCCAGAGTGTCTGTACCAGCCTTTTTCAGTTCTGGATTTTCACAGAATCCAAAAGTTTACGGACCCATAAAGGAGTTGTTATGCGAAAATAGCCCTCCAAGATATCAGGAGACCACGACTCAGAACTATCGTGCCAATTACTACAACAAAGGCCTTGATGGGAAGTCTAGACTGTTGGATTTTAAGCTCTAAGAATCTGGATGAATGTTGGAGAAAAGAGGGTGAATCCTTGCTGCAGAAGGATTAGCGATTAGGGCGCTAGAAATCGGTTTGAAATTAGAGTCTATTTCTTTGGTCAAACTACATTGTCTTGATCTATTTCGGTTTTTTCCCTAAAGTTTGTGATTTGTATGAGTTGAGTTCGTCCGTGAGTTGTTAGTAGAGCTGAGAATTTGCAGCTGAAGTAGTTAGTCATGGTTGTTGAATTTGCAGTTGAATTTGCAGTTGAGAGGTTAATATACGTCCTGGGGAGAGCGACATTGTTGGGAGATTGCGGCGTTGTTCCCTTTCAACATTCAATAAAATTTGTCAAATAGTTGTTTATTTTCAGCAAGACTGTAACTCATTGTAAGACTTGGTCTTTTAGAGGTCATGATAATAAGGGTGTTTGTTCTACCATTGTGTCATTGTTTGTTGATGTTTAAAGTTTAAACTATGTAGCACTCTTATTTCACATAAGATTGTAAGAACATCAAATGTGGAAATTACCGTCTCTGTAATAAATCATTAAGGTTTGATTTACCTCGTAATTATACCAGATTGCTGTGAATGACTTTTTCGACTTCTTCAAATGGTACTTAGTGACGATTTTATATATCACATTCAATAGAAATTAAATTGACGAGATGCTTATCAAAATTCTAATTTTATGTGCTTCCGATAAATTAATTATTGATAGTTTGGACGAGGTATTTGAAATGAGATGTTTTGGGACACATATCATTAGGAATTTGCTCAAATGAGACCTCACCTTGTGAACTAAACTGTCTAATTTCCCACCTCTCCAAACAAGATAATTACATTGATGATTGATCCTCATTTTGAGGCGTTTACTAATTTTACACATTTCATCTAGTAAGGAGATTCACTCACCCAATTCAGACTCCGGTAAGTTCTTGTTCAAAAAGAGATAGGTTTCTGTATTCAGCAGTGGAGTCAAATTCTTAATAAGATGACAGTCCAAACTTGCAACATTTTTCCACTGATAAATGTCCTTACATAATTATCACTATGATCAGTGGACGAATTTTGATAGGTTTTAATAAGCAAGTTTCACAAATGCATAAATTACAAGCAAATAATAATGTGGTGATGAGGTCAAGGACGTCAAACATTCCATTTGTCCCGCAAGAACCAAATCTAGAAGGCAAGGACGACAAATTACTAACAAACAAAGTTCCATTTATTCCATTTCCATATATTTGGCAAACTTCGATGCCAAATTTTAACGCAAGGAAATAAAAAAAAAACTCCCGACAATTTCCGTCTTTGGGTCTCTCATCTCTGTCCGTCATAAGGAACAAATCAGATATTTTCAGCCTTGTGGCTTAACTACAAAAATCATGGGAATCAAGCACACCATCCTTTCCGACTGTGTGCGACTCCTATAAATACAGCTTTATTCAAACACCGGTGGTGCCTCTACGACTGCGCGGGGAAGGGGAAGAATAAACTAGGCACCAAATTGCTATACAACGAACAAATGGTGGGAGAGATAAATCATTGTTTTTACCTGGCTGTCATTTTCTCGCCAGGCCTATTTTGATAAAAACTGGATATGGTTCTAGAGGTCGAGAATGGAAGCTCCAAGCTAAAGATTAGATGAAGTCGGGCTGCCCTGTGGAGGTCAAACAACGATGCCACATGCGGCTGTTGGGATCTACGGGTCTCGGGTAAGCGATGACTTCAGGAATTGGGAAGTAGACGTAATGGGTGTTGCATATCCCCACTGTGATCCCGCTGTATCCTGCAAATGCGCCATGGACCTGCCACAGAAGAAACAGTGCGTGTAAGAGATCAAGTGGAAGCGACGAGGAGCGTCGATCGCAGTTATTTAAGCCCCCATCACAGGTATCTCTTGGTCTGCCATTGTCCTTTGCAGTGCGTTGCAGTTGATTAGTCAGTCGCAAGCAAAACTAAATGTGATTGTGGTCAAGGTGAGATAACATTCATTGTTGGACATCTTCAACAATTAATGATAATGAGGGGAGAAAGGGAAAACTTACAGCATTTTGTCCAAGAACAGCGCATAGAATTCCATCTGATGCATTTGCACGGCATGCACGAATCATATATGTTGGATCGATGTACTTAACATCAGCATGGACGCCAATCTCCCGAAAGTACTTCTTCGTCTGAAACAGTAGTAAGGAAGTAAGGTAACGGCAATTTCTTCGCGCATGTTAACTCTGGAAAATGTCTCCCAAGATTAAGCCAATACATGCTCAAGGCAAGAAAAAAACTAATAACAACTGACCTCTTGTTGGATATGTACGCCAATGTCACCAAGTACCATGTTTCCAGATGCATCCGTGGCGTTGGTTTTCTGAAGCAAGTTCTGTATAAAGCGGCAAGCAAAAGTATAGTCAAAGCGAAGGAAATAGCTGGCTAAGGTATTCTTGCTAAGAAATCCTCACTTAAAACCCTCTCTGTTCCCAAGAACAGCACGTGCCCAAACTGACGTTTGTACAAAACAACAGTGCAACAAGACCTATTAAGCATCTCTTTACAACTGTACCTAGCCCTTCCGCCATTAGACAGAGAAAAAAGGGCAGATTGAAATGGCAAGGTAACTGACACTGAAAGCTCCTGAAAAGGACTGCTCAGGGCATTGAAACCTCTAGAAGGCACACAGAAATTTGTAGTAAGAATCACCTGTCCAGCTCCTTCGGCCACACAGACCACAGCGGATCCCTTTGTCTCAATCAAGTATTTGAGATGCGTCAAGACACCATGAGGTCCATGTAATTGAAACGGTACCTTTTTGCAAGAGCACATATCAGTTAAATTTATGCACACACAAGGTAGATATGGCTATAGACTTGTGACAAGAGGCACATACCTCTGGGATCAAGCAAATATCAATCTGTCCACTAGCAAGGGATGCATGCATGGCTATAAAACCACTGTGACGTCCCATTAATTTCACGATTCCAACTCCATGATAGGCACTGTGAGCCTGGAGTGAATGACGATGCAAGAAGATATGTATAATGTCAGACAGAGGAGCCCGTAAGGAAAAGGCAGAGCATTAAAGTTTAACCTACCAGAAAAGCGAGAAGCAGAAATGAATAGACTGAGTTTGATTACCTCAATATAAGCAGAATTTATTGCTCTTTGTGCTTCTTCTACAGCAGTATCGAAACCGAAAGTTTTATCCATCAATAAAATGTCATTATCTATGGTCTTTGGTACCCCAACTACAGCTACCTTCAGCTTTCTTTTACGGCACTGAAAACAGGAATTTAGAAGTTATAAATTATAATACTTTGGAGCTTGTACCAGGAAGAAAGTAAGAAATACCGAAATGCCATGCTATCAATTTTAGTAACAGGCACCTATTAAGATTACTTCAATGTTCTGATCTGCCTGGGAATAATACGCTGGAGCTTGTAAAATGAAGAAAGCTAGAAGTACCAAATTGCAGTTCTAAGATGACCACTTCTAATATCAGACACCTATTACAATTACTTCAATGTTCTGAGTTTAAGTCTGCCTGAGAATATAATGTCATAGGAAAATCAGAACCAATACATATAGTTCAGATGCACTAGTTTACATCTTAAATTCAATTACATTTTCTAGCAATTCTGGAAAAAGTCTGTTCCCGGTACTTAGACTAGATATCTATTGGCCAACCTTTTATGCTCGATCCCAGGTACCATTATGGCATAACAGTTCCTCAAGAGTATCCTTCTATAAGAGGATTCAGAAAGGAGAAGCTAGGTTGAACTAGCTCGTAAGCCATATAACCAGCACTCAACTAAAACAGACAAAAAGATATAGTAGTGCAGGAAATCAATAAGATGTAAGCTTATAAACCTCTTCGTGTATGGCGTTCGCCCCAGCATGTGTACCATTCCCACCTAGTACAAAAATCATGTTGATTCCCTTTTCCTAATAGCATCAAGGCAAAGAATGTAGAATAAGGCCACGCTCAACCTTTAAAGTTAGTATTCAGATCAATACAAAGGAACAAAATGCTTCCTAATCCAAAAAGAAAGTTTACTACCTGCATCCTATCAACAATGTCACTGACACTGGGGCCTCCGCGTGAAACTCCCAACAAACTTCCACCAGAAAGATGGATATTCTGAACCACTTTCCTTGATAGCTGATAATCAAAGGAAAATATTGGGCCTGAGAATTGACGAAAAATGAAAGAGAAGCATCTCCAGATCCATTATGTACCAAGTCAAACAGCCAAAATTGCCAGAATGAAATGAAACTTACTGGCATTTCACTCAAGTCACTGTTAGAAAATCCACGATAACCAAAAGGGATCCCCACAATACTTTTGACACCATATATTTCAAGTGTGATGACAACCTGCCAAAAGTAAGCAAAAGAGTAACCAACCTTAAGTTTTTATGTATCACAATTCTTAGATGGTTTCAACAATGAGCATATGTCCCACCTGTGATAATTCTAAGACCATAAGAATAAGCATGTGCACAGTTCCTATAGAGAAGATATATCTAAATGATGCAGACCTGTCTGATGACGTCATTGAGGCCAGGACACAATCCACCACAAGTAACAATAGCAGCCTTAACTTCCTCAGGTTTGAAGTAAATCTTCTCCCGAGGTCCAGCACGGTGAACCCTAACAAGTTCAGGAATCATTGTCACTCAATTGAAAAAGAAAAGAAGACAGGGAAAGTATTAAGTATCCAACTGAGAAGAAACTAGCAAACTAACGACAATAAACTGACATTAAACCTAAGGGAGAATCATGGTGTATCCTATTGAAAAGCTTTCTCATTCAAGCCAAATAAATGGATTTCTTGAAGACAAAACTGAAGATTCACAAGACACTTATTTGAGGCAGAGAAGTGTCTCTCGTTTAGTATTCTTTAGAATTAATAAGCTATATCTTCTGTTGGAACATATAGTAGTAGCTGGTCCAGTTAGGAGCTTATGCATTGTCATCAACCTGCAAATACATGATGAGTAATGGAGCAAGAAGCAAAATACCATTGTTCAACCCAGGTACAGTCAGGGTCAATGCACACTGCTCCAGCTGAGTTGGGGGATGCGAAATTTATGGTCTGAAATATACGACAAAGAGAAACATCAATAAGCTACCAGAGAGGCTATTAATTTGAAAAGGATGTACACCGACAATGCTACAGTCTTTCAATGAAGATTTTGATTACTGAGTTAGCCATTTCCGTTGATTTACATGTTCTATGTCTAATAAAAAAAGAGTGGTACCAGTTTACAAAACAGCCATCGAACAAGACAATGAAGAAGTGAACCCCAAAACTATTCAGTTTGAACCACAGGGGTGTCCATATCGTCCTCTCCTTGTTCTAATTTGTAATGCTGACTACACAAATGTATATGAGAATACACCAAACACCACAACTTGCTTTCACAATTATCTACAGCACCTACAGTTACTAGAAAACTACAAATGTAATACGAAAACTCTCATCTCCCTAAATCCATAGCAAGGCAATTATCAAATAACATGTAGTTACAGAGAGTTCACCAATAGGCGATCAAGGGTTTAACTTTTAAGTACCTTGAGAAGGACCCTGTCGTTATTATTGATGTAACCATGCCACTCCTCATCAGAAGGATAACCGCCGGCGAAATCCTCAGACACAGGAGTCCTGTAAAATGCTCGCCCAAAACAAAGTCAACCAACTATGAAGGCATCACACTGGAGCTGTTCAACAATTGAATATGCAATTCCAAGAGATGCTTAGCGGAACCAAAATAAACATAGCTCGAAATCAAACAAAAGAATAGATTCTCAGCTTCACCTAACATTCGTTTCGAATCGCGAAAATTTGAAGAAAGCGAACACACTCTACCAAGTTTCAAGTTCGCAGCCAGAGAAATGCGAGTAATCAAGGCTGACTCCCTACCTCATTCGCAGACAAAACGTTGAAGGAATCGGCTTGGCATCGGGGAAGACATCAGTGATGTGCGGAATATTGAAACGGCGCTCAAAATCCTTCTGATACTTGATCCTCCACTCTGGATCACTGAAATCGATCTCCCGAGCGTTCGGCTTCTCAATTTCAGCACGAACTCGGCCCCTGCTCACAATTCTGCGTAGATTCCCCGAGAACGAGGAGAAACCATTGGAACGGCGAAAACGTCGAGGAAACAGAAAATAAGAGGCGGAAGAGGATGTGGGAGACAGGGTCCCGGGGTTAGTAATGGAAGCACGGGAGAGAGACTCCATGGGACACGCAGATCACGGCGAGTCTCCGCGCCGTCTATTTTGGTATTGGTCGATCTTTGTTGACTCCGCCCGCCGGATAATGCTGCGGCTGTACGTGCAGCGGAGGGATTAAGGAGGAAATGCCGAAGTAGAACAGAGCAGAAGAGAAGAAGAGCTGAAGAAGGGAAGTTGAGGAGGGAGAGAAGGAGACGGAGAAAGGGAGGTAGATGGTGGTGGTGGCCTCCGAAAGGCCGTACAGTTGGGGGAGAGTTCAGACTTCAGAGTTTGTTTTCGCTTTTGAGAAATCGAAGTGTGACACCATTTCCTCGTGTCAACCAATGGTAAAGTACGAAATAAATAAATTGTATTCAACGAAAAAGAAAATTACTAAATAGCCAACAGAACCGAAAACAGAGGTCGATACGTATTGTGCCAAATTACTATGGAATCTAATCAAAGTTGACAATTATAAATACGAAAATTCTAAGTATTGATGCTCCACTTTCAAAATACAAACAACAAATATCATTCCTCCTTTGTTGGTAAAAGCAAAAGTATGGTATACGTTGAATAATAAAATGATATCTAAATCTTGTATTTATCGAAATTTAGTATCTAATTATTTTCAAATTCTAATAGATTAAAATCTAGGTCTTCATTCTATAAATATCATACACTAAAGATTAATTTAATTAAAAATAAAAAAATTGACAGTCATGATTCGTCGAAATATATACAATAAATTACATGCACAATCTTAGATGTTAAGCTCTATGATTTAGATAACTAAAACTTAGGGTTCACTCATTACGGATTTTTTTTTTATAATGGATGCAAGGCACCCTAGCTTTACTCATCAAGAGTTAGCGTATAATATCATGCCCAAAAATCTTATTAATTCAATGTCTAGAAAGCATTTTTTTTTACTTAGGATCTGTCGTACCATATATTTTACCCAAGGTATGATATAAACCACCACATATCCTGAGGATCTAGAGCACCACTCAACTAAAACAATCTAAATGATGACTTATCAAGTTTGTAAATATTTTCTTCACTAAAAGAATGGAAAGAAAGCCAACGCCTGATGGCTAGTGAAGGAATCCATTTCGAGTTCGTTCGTCTCCTTATTCTTATTTTGTTTAGGGGTATTGGGAGGGGTTTTTGAGTTCTCATAGGGAATGATGAGCTTTAATTTAGAGGGTTTTTATGTCAATAAAACTTTATATCTATAGTCTCTTTAGGTTTCACTGTTTCTATTTTCAAATGAAAATCATTGATGCTAGAATTTCTAGACCAAATTTAGAGTAGTGGGTTTGGATATGTTCATATGGACCAATTTTCTAGTTATCCAAAATATTAATATCAAATAACACTGGATCTACTTTTAAATAGCATTGGGCCGAATAACTCAAAGAAAAAAATTTACAAGTACTATATTAGCTTTGGACGCAGAGGAGGGATGGGTCGTGGTCTGGAGAAGCCTTACCTAGATTCGCCACTGGAAGAAAGCTTATCACTCTCGAGCAAATGTCAATATGTCATATTGGAGGAAGTTCAATATGCCTTCTCCTCTTTCAAGTGTCGTGTCTTTTTTCTCTTATAGATTCAACAAAATTATCTACGTAGTAGTAGAACCAAGGTTCAAGAAGGCATTAAGCGCTAGTCAGGTGTTGGGATCCTGCATAGCGCCTAGCATGGCTAAGCGTTTAAGTGAAATTAGCGGATTTAGTTGAAATAACAATTTTATAACACTACGCACGGCGCGGTGGAAAAATATGGGTACGTATATTTCCCGACAAACCCGTTTTTTACTTTTAGTTATCTAGCCCTCAACAACAAGCAAAATATTGTTGGGTGTTAGCGGAACTAGTGGTAATTTAGGATCAAAACAAAGGAAACAATTGGTGTTTAATTACTCTTTTTATAAATCACTCAAACAAACAAGGCCTTAACTTTTGGCTCTTGTTGTTTACAAACACATAGACACAAAAACTTTTTTTTTTATGTCTCTCTTACAATCTCTTGCAAACCCATACATACACATTTATATTACAATGGAAGAACAAACTAATAATGCTATTGGCTCCATTTCTTTCTCCATGCACTTACCACTTGTGGTAGATGAAAACATCACTTAATTCAACTGGTCTACTCATTATTCCATGCATTAATCTCCTTGTCTCTTGCATTATTTTGATTTTGGTTTCTTCTTTCGGGATTTTTCAAGAAATAGCACCTTTTAAAAAAAATACAAAAATAGCACCCAGCCGAAAATATTTACAAAAATAGCACCCTTTTTTATGGACCGCACCTCTAAGGAGCGGTCCATAATCCTGGACCAAAACCGCATCTTAACCATGCAGTTTCAGGTCTGACCTACAGAAACCGCATGGCCGAGGTGCGGTTTTGGCCTGACCTAGCAAAACCGCACCTTGGAGATGCGGTTTTGCCACACAAACCGCACCCCAAGGTGCGTTTTGGTCAATTATTTTCCGACATGCCATGCAAAATAACAGATGTGGGATAATATCAAGTTAACACGAAAAAAATGGACAAAGCCAATTACAAGTTAAACGAATTGGGATAATATCAAGATAAGAGGAATAGTTCCAAGCGGGGAGATGGGGTGTTGACGCCCTAAAACACAACACCAATCTGCGACCAAGTGTAATCGCAGACCGGGAATGCAGTAACAGGCACGTTATATTATCAACCCGGGGTCTAGATCTACTGCTTACTCAGTGATTCTCTGTTATCTAGCCAACTAAAGCAAGTGATTGTTGTTTAAAAGCAAAAGCAGAAAGAAAGCAGGAATTGATACGGTTTTCTCAAGCAGGTAAGAGTCACTCGGGAATGAGTCCCCCTAGCTCCTTAGTTAGGTTTCAATTGTATTTCCCTGGGTTGATTTACTATTGATTAGACTGCGAAAGATCCGACAGTAGCTTGGAATCTCTTAAGCTGACCAAGCCCTCTCAGTCTAACTACCCGGCAGACGACTAGTCTTCACCGGGATAGAAAGCTGAAGCAGTAAGAACAGAACTCCACTACTGGAATTAGATTCCAGTACAAAGCAGTAAACTGGCTAACTCTCGTATATCCAATCTCCTACTACCGAATGATGAGACTCTAGCAACCTAATCAGATTCTATCTATCTCAGATTGCAGCAGGAATCAAGAAAAGTTGATCAGACTTCAATTGACTCAATAAACATGCATCATTCGATTAAAATCAAACAGTAATATCATCCGAAGTCGTTACAATCAATCCCTAACACATAGAACTAGGGTTCTTCATCCCCAAGTGAGAGAGGGTATCTACTCCATAGAGAGAGAGAAGAAAACAAGATACAAAGAAATCATACTCATAATTATGGGAAGAATATGCTCTGGGATGATGATTTCCACTCCTATGACGATCTCCAAGCTTGATTTGATGAAACCCAGCTCCAAGATGGCTTCTAGGATGTGTTCTTCGTCCTTTCTCTCTCTAGGGCTCTGTTTTGCTCAAAAAGTCCGATTCTCTCTCTTGCAGCCCGAAATTGGGTTAAAACCAGGAAATCCCGACTCACACGGGCAGGGCCACACGGCCGTGTGGCATACCCAGTTGCCCGTGTGAGTCAAAACGCTGCGTTCCAATTAGTTCGATCTTCAGGCTTCTCACACGGCCAGGGTCGCACGGCCGTGTGGGAATTCCATCTGCCCGTGTTTGCTCTCGGCGAAACTCGCACGGCCAGGCCACTCCTTCACACGGCCGTGTGAACATCAGGGCAAGCCGTGTTTGCTCTCGCACAATCTCACACGGCCAAAGTGGTCACTTGCACGGCCGTGTGAGTTGTTGGTGTGCCCGTGTGGCCTCCTTTTTGACCTGCCTCACGCCCGATCTTCGTCCAATCGACCCCAAACTTGCTCCCAAGCCTCCATTCACGTACTAGGACCTTAAATATCACAAACAAGCACAACCTAGCGTGAAATCGGCCTAAAACACGAGAAATCACATCTCAAACGGTGTAAGAACAGGGGTAAAACATGTGTAATTAACGGTCTATCAAACTCCCCCACACTTAACCGTTTGCTTGTCCCCAAGCAAACCAAATCAGACACAAGGTAAGCTTACATATTTCCAATCAACCAACATTGGGGACAAGTCATAAAGGCACAGAACACGTGAATCGTACTGGTTTTCAAACATCAATACCTGACCAACTTCAATAGCAACCTGGACAACCACCACAAAGGACATTCGAGTGCAGCAAAATCGAGTAAAGGAAGAGTCTCCCTTCTGTTCACCAACCAACCTAGACTTGACTCAACCACTTACTCAAAACAGTCAACTCATGCATCCAACTCAAGACATCAGAATAGAGACCGAGCAATCTAGGTCCTCACCGGGGTACAAGAGTATATAGAATATGAAAGATGAATCACTCACTCTCGACCAGTGGGGTCAGGACAATTTGATGCGAAAAATGCGCATGTTATTTCTCTCAATCCCTAACATCTCTTCACCATGATGGCAACCTCTAAATGCTAGAGTTCACATATGGGGTGTCACCACTAACTAATCAGGAGGTCTTAGACACAGGTTCAAATGACTGGCTAGGGTCTTGGACATGGGGAAAAGGCCTTTTAGGTGGTGGAAGTATTCAAAGCACAAGGTTCCACATTTCCAAACCCAAACAATCACAGTAAAACAAACCGGTATTTCCTTTCTGCTATTCTGCATTACTCAATATCTCAAGAGCACAAGAGCGAAGGAGGTATAAATGTCAGCATTTCCAAGCCAGACTGCTAAGAAACACTACTTACTGGGCATTATTCAGATTTTTGGTAGTGGCTCTCTTTGCTTTCAATTTTTCTTTGTTTTTCTTTCATTTTCTTTTCATTTCTTAAGAGAGCCACCACTTCTGCATATATTTCAAACACATGCCCAGCTTTTAAGCACTACCTCCAACACCCACATCAAATTATTTAGCAGAAACAGCAGAGAATATGTAAAAAAACCACTCTGTGGAACCTTC